GGTGACACAGCAGATAGAGAAGTAGCCCTGGAGTCAAGAGGACCTGAGTTCAAATCCAGCCTCAGACCAGACACTTGACATTTACCAGCTGTGTGACACTGGTCACTTAACCTGAATTATCTTGCAGTAAATAAATGAATGAATGAATGAATGAATAAAAGAAACGATTACTGAGAGAGACCTTTAAGGTGAAATCATGTCAGGAGCCAAGTTCAAATCCCACCTTCTGCAGGGGGCCTTCCCTGGTCTTCTCCATCTCCTCCCTGCTCAACCCCTCTTTTCTTCTAAAATTACTTTCCATTCACTTCATATATGGTTTTGTTGTTATTAAGTCATTGATTTGGTGTTTTCTTGGGAAAGATACTGGAATGGTTTGCTATTTCCTTCTCCAGTTCACTTTACAGATGAGGAAACTGAGGTAAACAGGGTGAAGTGACTTGCCCAGGGTCACACAGCTAATAAGTGTTTGAGGCCAGATTTGAACTCAGGAAGATGAGTCTTGGGCACTCCAGGCCCAGTGCTCTGTGCACCAGAGCACCACCTAACTGCCCACTATACATGGTACCATGGGATTTTTTGGTGTGCTATCTTCCCCACTAGAATGGGAGCTCCATGAGGGCAAGATTGTGCTTTCATTTTTCTTTGTATCCCAGCCCTTAACACTATGCCATAGTTAATCAATAATACCTAATAAATAATAAATTTAATAAATGCTTATTGACTGAATAACACACTAGTTACCTCTTCTTCCCCACAGTGACTGTACTGAACTTTTTTCCCCTGACTTAGAATCCTAGACTGAGAACAAGAAAGGATCTCAGGATAGTCCAGCCTCCCGTATCTTACCTGTGAGCGAACTGAGGCCCAGAGAGGCTGGGAGCCTTCCCTGTGCGCCAGGGCTGGGGACCCGGGGCCTCCAGCTCCAGGACTCGGGAGTCAGAGCTCAGGAACGTACACCATCTCTCATGCACTGTTGGACATCCATCTTCTCACTCCCAGCTGAGGAGCAAGCCTCCCAAGAAAGTGCAGGCCGTCTGAGCTAAACTGCCCCAGCAAACTCCTAAGCTCTCTCTCTTCTCTCTGTCTGTCTCTCTCTTTTCTCTCTCTCTTTCTTCTGTCTGTCTGTCTGTCTGTCTCTCTCTCTCTTCTCTCTGTCTGTCTCTCTCTTTCTCTCTTTCTTCTCTCTTTCTGTCTTTCTGTCTGTCTCTTCTCCTCTCTTCCATCTCTCTCTCTCTGCCTCTCCCTCCCTCTATATGTGTGTGTCTCTCTCCCCTCCTTCCCTCTGGTCACAGAAGATAGTCAGCAAGGCTAAGCTGTGCCCTTGACCCCACTTTCTTCGCCTTCCTCCAGGACCTTCCTCTGTCAGTCAATCAATTCCCTACACCCTTTCCCCTCACCCCCCAACAATGAACTCCAATTTCTCCCTTTTCCATGGTACCCTGTTTTCTGTCTCTAGGGGACAGGCTGAACTACTGAAGGACCATAATGAACCATTCTTTAGATGGGAAGGGAGGGGGAAAGGAGGGGAGAGCTCCACTGTTCTATTCTATCTGCTGTTCCCCTGGGTGCAGCTAAGTGGTGTAGTGCCAGACTTGAATTCATGAAGACCCGAGCTTGAATTCTGACTAAGACATTAATTGTGTGAGCCTGGGCAAGTCACTTAGCTCCTCTCTCAGCTTCAGTTTTCTCATATGTAAAATGGGAGTAATAATAACACCTGCCTCCCAGGGTTATTGTGAGGACCAAACGAGACAATATGTATGAAGCATTTTGTAAACTTTTATTTTATTTTATTTTTGGTTTTTTTAAAAATTATTTTAGACTTAAATACTAAAACTTAAATACTCAATAAGAAAAGAAAAAGAAATATATAAATTTAAATATTGAAACTGGTAAGTGCCAAGTACACAGCAAAAAGAGAGGATTTAAAATATACAACAATAAATTATATAATAAATACTGCACATTATGTTGAGAGCTGTCCGTCTTTTCTTCGCTTCCTTGAAGTTTTTCTTTTGTTCTCAGCTGTGCACTTTTTACTTTTTTTTCCCCCTTTCCCCCCACCCCAGAAGGCTACAATGAAGCATGGATACACACATACACACACAGTTATAACTTGCATACATATATACACATATACACAAAATATACATACACATACACATGCTTAGATGTCTACAATCATACTCATATATAGCCATATACATTCCTATGCATCTATGTAAGACCGGACTATACTTATTTATCCTGTTTCTCTGAGAGTGGATAATCTCTTCTTTCGTAAGTTCAAGTCTTTCCATATTTTCCCAAGTCCATCAACTTGATGAATATGACTGACACATAGTGTAGTTTCACTGTTTTTCTCTTTTGATTAAATCTATTTTAGCCTTAACTTAGAGATCACGATTACCACTCCTGCTCCTTTTTCCCTAACAAATTCTACTCCTGATCTCTATTTTATATTTGTGCTTATTTCTTACTTCCTATCCCTCCTAATGACTTTTCTACCTGTTACTTTGCTCTTCTATTCCTTAACCTACCCCCCATAATCCCTCATTTATAGTAACAACAATATTGTAAAGATGTTGTTGTTTTTCCTTCATTCTCTTTTTTTTATTTGTAAACTTTTAGGTGTTCAGTGTTAACTATTATAATTATTTCTATTATTGCAGAACTCCTCCCTTCCTTGAAACTGCCTTCTTCTGCTCTCCTCTTTCCTCCCACCCCCTCCTCACTCACTCCTCTCAATTCCTCCCTCCCAGTTGGACCGAATAAATGAGGGACGTGGTGCTGTGGCCCAAAGCCCCCATCCAGCCTTTCTGGCGGCAGTCTGTTCATAGTGAAAAGAATACTGGACTTGGTTTAGAGTTGGAGTCTGACAGCCTGGGTTCAAATCACTGCTCTGCCACCTATGACCCATGTTACCGTGGGCAAGTCATTTCCCTTCTGGGGGCTTCAGATTTCTCCTCTGTGTTAAATAAAGGCACTGGACCGAGTTTCTGAGGCCCCTTCTAGCTCTGGCCATCTGAGTCAGGGACTCTCCCTCTCCTCTCTCTCCCTCCCTAGGAAGGCTGTCAGGGTTCTCCTCAGGGCAAAGGACACGTGAGCTAGTCCCTAGGGCCCAGAGCAGGTTCTACCACATTCCTGGGTGAGTCGTAGGAGGAGGGTGTGCCTGCCTCAGGCTCCTGGGGGAGGCCCCCTGAAGGGCTGGGGAAAATCCTATGACCAGAGCCCCAGGCTGCTCCGGCCACCCTTGGCCCAGTGGGGCTTGGGGCATTAACTCCCTGTCTCCCAGGAGCTTCAAAGAAGAGAGCCCGGAGGCTCATTAGGAAGACAAAAACTTCCTGCGGCCCCTCCAGGGCCAGGGTCACAGAATGGTTGTTTTTTTTTTCTTTTTTGTTTAGGGGAAAGGAGAGAAAATAAATGTTAATTGACAATTTTAAATTTAATTTGAAAAAAATATAGTGTCCTCCCTGAAGCAGGTACTAACTATTGGGAAGGAATACCAAGCGTCCCATTGTGCTCTATATTTGGGGGTATAGTTATATATGTATATGTGCATATATATGTACAATATGTTGTATGTGTGTATACAAGCACATACGTCTAAATATATACACATCTCTACATATGTATAACACACGTGCTATATGGGGAGGGAGGGACCGTCCACTCCCAGCCTTCTGTGAATCTTCTGCTTCCCTTCTCAAGTTTCCACCTTCTCCTGTGTGGTGTCTCCTCATGGGATCCTGGCGAGGAGACAGGACTGGCCCCTGGTCCCACAATGAGAAAGGGGCATTAGCACTCAGAACCCAGGGATTCTCCTGCTTTCCCGTCCCATTCCAGCCCCAGGGTGCATTCCCAGGCAGTTAAGGCCCCGGAGGGGCTCTTGGTAAAGTTTTGGCCACCAGGGGGCAGCAGGCAAGCATCAGTGAATCATTGGGGCGTAGGACAAGGGATGGGATGTGGGGGGATGAACTACTGAGTAGATGTGGGGTGGGGGGCGGGGGGAAGGCAGCCAAGTTCTTGGCTGCTTCCAGCCTCTCTAGATAGCTGGGCAGGGGAGAGGGAAGAGATAATGACCTCCGGTAACATATTGATGTTATGTACTGTTAATAAAAAAAAAATTCACCGTCTGATTTGAGCCTCCTATTAAACCCTATGATATGCCCATTGTGCAGATGAGAAAGCGGAGGTTCAGAGAGGCTTAAGTGCCTGGCCCACTGCCACACTGTAAATGGCAGGGCCTTCTGACTTGCAGGCCAATGCTAAGGGGCAGGCCCTGAGCCATTGCCCAAAGCCCTCCGGGCTTCCTCTGCCCCATTTTTGGTTGCGCAGTCTCCATGAAGTCCCCAGAAGTAGCTGCAGACGGCTCTGTATCGGGCAAAAGATGGACGTCTGGTCCCTCGATCAACACAAGATCTCTCCAGAATTCTAGGAGAGGCTACCCAGGGATGAGGAATAGAACTGTGACCATCCCAGTCTTCTCAGCTTTCTCAGTCTCCCCTCCCACCCATTTTTAGATCTCCAAGCATGTAAAGGGCAGACCTGTAGCATAAAGGGTAGTGGGGTACCTGTTCCCTAAGGTCCCGTCCAAAGCTTAATTCCAAAACACAGCACCAGCCTCCACCCAGCTCTCATCCCAAGGCACCTCTGGGGAGCAGCCAGGAGTCCAGCAACCCACCCCACTGCCTCTTTCTCCAGGCCCCCTGGGGAATTTCCTGAGTCCGAGGGTGGTACCACCAGGGGTGCCCTCTCCTGCCAATTTTCGTCCAACCCAGAGGGTGAGGGATGACAGACACTGACAATCATTAAACCAGCCTAGCCTGATTTCCCAGCACCCTCCCGCCCGCCAGGCTGGGACATAATATGCAAATCACCAAGGACAGGGAGCCTGGGTCCCGAGGCCAGGAAATCCCCTTGGTCCAATGAGGCTGCCCGCCTCAAGGCTAACCCGCTCAGGTTACAGCAGCGAGCTGCCTATAAAATGCTTCTATCCTGGGAGGAGTCTGCCTTAGGCTTTATTTAGGGCGGAGTGAGAAGGGCAGAGAGAGGTAGATAGATGCAGTGTTCACCTACCTGTTGGAGTTAACTTGCGACCTGGATTATCCACGGCTGCCGGCTGCCCTGCGCCCTCCGTGTTCTGGCTTACTCTGGTAGGTTCCCAAATCACCCCCACAGAAAGCATGGCAGCATGGCGCTCCGCAAAGACTTACGTAGGACTTAGGGAGGGGAATGTGCCGCCCCCCATCTTGAGCATGAGACTCCAATGGAGGGATTTTCAGGTGTTTTACCGACTTGTCCCAATATCAGGATCCTAAGATTTAAGGTGCTTTTTTTTGGGGGGGGGATGAGTCTCTCCATCCTAACCTGTCCTAGAACATCAGATCCAGAGAAGGAGATCTTGGTGAAGAGGGAGAAGTCAGCATTCAAGAAATTACTTTTCCTACCTCAACCTAGAGAGTAATTCCCAGGGAAGGGTTAGGTCTTGGCAGACGAAGACTTAAATCCTAAGCTACCTGCCTACCTGCACCAATCAGCAATTTCTTTTCGACCTTGAATCTCGGCCCTATTCTCGAGACTGTATTGGGAATTCTTGACCAGAGTTCCCAGGGTTTGGGGAGATGCTGGCTTTCCCCTGACCACCTGAAGCGGTCTCTGATTGATATTCCTGCTGTTTCCACTGACTAGATGGATGACCTTGAACAAGTGGCTTAATTTATCTGCAGACCTCCCTTTGTACATCTACAGAATGAGCAGTTGGGAAAATTGAGCGCTAACTATAGTTCCTGTGGGGAGTTCTTAATGGGGGGATGGGAGATGGGGTATTGGTGGTTTTGTGTCCAGGGTTGCAACCTTAGCCCAAACCTCTGAGTCCTGAGGGTAACAAAAAGTGTATCTAATGTACCCCCGACTAGGAGCCTTGGTCTCTGATCCTGGACCCCAGTTTTTCATCTCTTCTCAACTTTAAACACAGAGAGGGAACCTCATGGCTGCGTCTTGTGAGATCAGCAACATTTTCAGCAACTATATCAGTGCCATGTACCAGGCAGAAGACCCAGCTCCCGCCTCATCAGCCACCTTGGGTGGGGACGACCCGGTGTTGACCCTGAGCAATCCACAGATACCCCTAGAGGGCACAGGTGGGTCCTGGGAGCACAGGGAACCTGGGGAAATGGAGTGCAATCATCCAAAGAGCTTGGGAGTCAGGAAGGCAGAGAAGAGTGTCTTGGATGGCTTCCCCCCCCCCCCGAAAGAGTGGGGTGGGGGAGAGAGAGATGGGACCAGAGAGAATGTAGGGTAGAGAAGTGAGTATAGCTTAGACAGAGAGTGAATGCTAGGGGGTGTGGGGGTGGGGATGGGGGGAATACACATGGAACACTAATACAACAGGGGTAGCTCAAGGGTCTATGGCGATAAAGTGTGAATGCAGAGGCAGAGGTGAGACTGGGTGACCCTTTCCCCTGTCCTGTTAACCTAGCATCCTCTTCCTTTGTTAGACAAAGCCAGCTGGTCAGGGATGCTGCCCCATTTGTGGTCAAAGGCCCAGGTCCTAGACTGGATCAGCTATCAGGTGGAGAAGAATAAATATGATGCTAGTGCCATTGACTTTTCCCAATGCAATATGGATGGCGCCACACTGTGCAGCTACCCCCGGGAAGAGCTGCGCCTGGTCTTTGGACCCCTGGGGGATGAGCTCTTTGCCCAGCTGCAAGACCTCTGTGAGTGCCAGGGAGGGGGCTGCCCCCCATAAATCCCAGGGTTAGAGCCACCAGTTGAATTGCCCACCCCTCCCCCTCTCCCCCCAACACAGAGCAGAGCCCTTGACTCTCAAGGGTTTGGTTTCACCAGAACGTTAAAGGAGATTGGTCGGGGGGTCCCAAGTTCTGTTAAGTAGGGGCCAAGGTTGGCATTAAATTAAGCCATATCCTAGGGATAAATTTAGGGAAGGTGGACCTTTGGGTGGGAAGGAACCTAGAGTTCCATCCACCAGCCAGATGGATCATTGAACCCTGGAAAAGGGGGAAAGAAGGGGAGCTACCTAATATGCCCGGCTGATACCTTGACAGTACCCCCCTACCCCACACTGCACCCCTGCCCCACTTCCCTCATGCCTTCCTTGTTTTCTCTAGCATCTAGCTCATCTGATGAGCTAAGCTGGATCATTGAGCTCCTAGAGAAGGATGGACTCATTTCTCAGGATATCATGGGAGACTCCACCTTTGGTAAGAGTCCTACCTTTCCCCTTATTTCCACCTTCTTGACCTAGCCCCAGGCGCTTTTTACCAGATGACCTCCAAAAAGCTCAGGGTGGATTGACTTCCAAATCTCCCTGGTTTATTCTCTTTGGGCCAACCATTTAATCTCCTAGACCTCTGTTTCCTTTATTGTTGGGAAATGCTGTGGGGAGAGAGAAATGAGGATATTAGATAAGCTGATCTTCTGGCTCTGAATCTAGGACCTATCAAAAGTCCTGAAAGACCCTGGCCCCAGGGGCCCTGGGACCCAACCAGTATCCTCCCCCTTACCTGGAAAAATACACTTTGTCTTCCAGGGCCCTCATGAATATGCCTGACCATTCTCTGAGAGAGCCCCACCCAGTTCCTGATCTAGCCCCTTTGATCCTTGATATCTTCTCTCCCCAGATCATAGCAGCCCTTTCAACCAAGATTTGTTAGATGACTCAAGGCTGGCCAGTCCCCATTACCCAGGAAGCTATGGGACAGGGGCTCCTTCTCCAGGCTGTTCAGATGTGTCCACTTCAGGTAAGAATCCAAGTCTCGGTACCCTCTAACTCCCAAGTCCTCAGCCGTACTATAACCCAACTGACCTTTTTAAAGGAGAAAAATCAGGGCTAGACTTCCTATAAGAAGGACAGGGTTAGCTAAGGAGAAACACAGCTCAGCCAGTATGGGACGAAAGGACTCAGATAAGCCCAGGCTGAGGTTGGCCAAGAGGTTATTTGCTGGCTTGGGGAATTCACTTCTTTTTCCTCCTTGTCTGATCTAGGGACTGGAACCTCTCAAAGTCCCCACTCAGACTCTGGTGCAAGTGATGTGGATTTAGATCCCACAGATAGCAAACTCTTCTCTTTTTCCAGTGGTAAGTGAGGGAGAAGGTATGGAGGTAGCCCTTCCTATTGTGGGAGGGCAGTCCATGCTCTATCTGAGGGGAGTAGTGGTGGAACTCAACAGTCAGCCCTCTGCAAAGAGGGGTGGAAAAGACCCAATCAGGGAAGCTTTATCAAGGCTAGAGTGGACAGTTTCCTGGCTGGGCTAGTGAAAAGTATGGGACTGGAAGAGGCTCAGAGAGGGAAGCGATCAGTGCTTGAGTGCTCTGAAGAGGCTGTCTGGTTAAGGCGGGGAAAAGGAACCCGAAGCCAAGTGGGAAATGACTGGGCCAAGGGGAGGGGAGCTAGGGGAACTTCCCCTGAAGCCTTGAGTGTATGAGAAAACAGGTTTTAATATGAGTGAACGAAATGGTGATGGACCCTAAGAGTCTTGACTTCCAGCCTGAACCTGCTTGAGTTTGGATTCTTGCTAGGGAAGGTGGGGAGAGAGGGAGGATGTTGGGGGGGAGGGAGAAAATAACAACAGATGTGATTATACATTCAGATACATTTCCAGAGAAGCTAGGAAAGAGATTCCCAACTTACTCCCATTTTCCTTCTCTCTGCTAAGACAACTTCTCTGACTACAAGGAAGGGGACCTGAAATATGGGAAGAAGAAACGAGGACGACCCCGAAAGCTGAGCAAGGAGACCCGGGAGTGCCTGGAGAGCAAGAAAAGCAAACATGGTAAGAATAACGCCTTTCACTATGGTCGCTGCTGTTGGGGGGGGTGGGGTGGGGCAGGAGTGGGCAGAGGCTGCTTCTGTTTGGGGTGGCAGGGAATAAACAGTCCCTTGCGCTGCTTAAGTTTCCAAAGAAATTTTCTCAGCTTTATGATACCGCTGCCTATGCCTCAGTTTCCTCATCTGTCAATTATAGCTAAGAATACCTACCCTGTGTGAAGTAAGTCAGGGTTTGTTTCTTTTTTCCTTTTTTTTTTTAGGCAATTGGGGTTAAGTGACTTGCGCAGGGTCACACCGCTAGTAAAGTGTCAAGTGTTTGGTCTGAGGCCGAGGGCTTTTTTTAATATAGTTAAAAGAAACTGAGGAAAGTGGTTTCCCCAAGGTCACATAGCTGTATTGTGGCAGAACTAGGAATCAAAGAGCCACAGAAGGTTAGAGCTAAATAGGATAGATAGTTTCTCTAGTCAAACCCTTTTTATTATATACACGAGGAAAGTGAGGTACAAGGTCATGCCTTGCCTTGAGGCCCCATAAGGGGTTAGCCAGGACTCCAGTCCCCACCTCGTAACCCAATATTCCTTTTTATGCCTAGCACTAAGCCTGCTGTGCTGGGATGAGGATAGGGACAACCATCCTTGGGACGTTGAATTTGGGACCACAGAGCACCCAGGAGATGGAGGGGGAAAGCATCAGGGTATATTAGAAAGAAAATTGGATTTGCCCTGGGTTCGAATTTCTGCCACTTAGGCATATCACCAGGGGCCATTTATTTTACTTTGGAGCTTCAGTTTTTTCAACTGTAAAATGGGGAATAATAAAATTTCTGAGAGTAAAAATGAGTGACTGAATACCTTAGTAATCATAATTGGGACCTATCATTATTGTGAGTGCTTTTTTTTTTTACTGTGTTTTTTTTTTCCCTCTGACTCTTAGGAATTGGTGAGAGAGGGCAAGAAACCCAAGCAGAGCTCATTTAAAAGTCAGAATTTGTAGGTTCCAAGTCTTAGGCTAAAGCCCTGGATTATAGTAAAAGAGGACACTGGTGGAAGTTGTTAGCTACCTTGCTCTTATCCAACCAATTAATCAATTAGCCTTTATTTAGAGTTGTTGTACAGTAAGTGCATAGACAAGAAATGAAACATTCCTTGACCTCTAGGTACTTAGCTTCTATTGGGTGAAACAATAAATATGTGTATAACAAATACAAAGGAAGTAGAAGACAGAGCTGATGGCTGTAGTGCCAGAGTTCACTGGGTCAGTATCTCAGCCCTTCCAAAAGTCTTTGAAAGCCTTTTGGAGAGCAGAGCCTGGAATGGGTACCCAAGATGCAAAATAAAGAAAACAGACACTGGCCGCATCTTTAAAAGTGATAAAACAGGGCAGCTAGGTGGTGCAGTGGATTCAGGATGACCTGAGTTAAAATCCGGCCTCAGACACATAACAGGTGAGGTGACTTGGGCAAAGACCCAGGTGCTGAGTCTTAGTGCTGGCTGCAGGGCCCTCATTCAAATCTAGTCTCTGCACTAGAAGGGAGAGTGAGCACTTATTTCCCCACTGGCCTTTGGGAAAGCTGGAGTTCAATGAAGGGCCCCCACTGAGTTAAATCAAGAGAAGCCTGGGGCTTTTCATCCTTCCAGTGAGAGTGATTAGGCTTGGAACAGAGAAGTGGTCCTCCTTGACTTACTGGGTTTTTGTTCACAGCTCCGAGAGGGACACACCTGTGGGAGTTTATACGGGACATCCTCATCCACCCAGAGCTCAATGAGGGCCTTATGAAGTGGGAGAACCGACATGAGGGTGTCTTTAAGTTCCTCCGATCTGAGGCTGTGGCCCAGCTGTGGGGTCAGAAGAAGAAAAATAACAGCATGACCTATGAGAAACTCAGCCGGGCCATGAGGTGAGCTGGTTAGAGTTTGGGAGAGGGCCAGGAAGCTCCCAGTTGGGGGCCTGGGGAGGTGGGGAGGAAGTAATTTGGTTGTGGAGCTCTTAGCTTGCTAGAGAAGATGACTTGAAAGTATAGAATTCTGAGAGGCAGAAGGTATCTTACTAATCATTTGTGCCCAGCCTCATGATTTTACAGGTGAGGAAACAGAGGCTCAGAAAGGTAACCTCCTGACTGGCTTACAAATGACTTGTACAAGGTCACAGCCAATAGATATTGGAGCCAAGACTTCCACCTAGAGCTTCTTGCTGCCAAGCCCTGTCCCCTTTCCAAGCTGCCAATCCCAATGTTCAGGTGTCCTTAGATAGGTGTATTTTTATAAGGGCAGCACTCAGCAGAGGACAGAGTATTAATGGGAAGTCAGGAGGTCCTGGGTTCTATACCTGTTTCTGCCACTGAATGAATACAGGTGCTTGGATACCTTAAGTCACTGAGACCCCTTTTTCTGGCGTCTCAGTGTCCTATCCTGTCAAGAGTAGGGGGAAATTGGATTGATATCTTCTATTTCTATCATTCTGTAATTCACTAAACACACACACACCTTGTCCCCAAACCAGGTTGCTTGATGACATAGCCTTAAGACAAAGAGCAAGGACATAACTGGTCATAAGCAGGAAAAGCAATGGGTGATATTGACCAGAGTTGGGTGAGGTTAGTTCAGGAAGGCTTCCTGAAGCAGGGTAAAGGTTATGGTCAGAGAATGAGGAGGAGAGGCACAGGGAAGAGAGAAAAGAGGGAGAGGGGGAGGGAAGGTGGGGGGAAGAGTTAGATTTTAGAAGCAGAGAGGACAGTTGGAAAAAGAGGAAGGAGGGAATAAATGGTCTATGGGAAATTGGAGGGATATGTATATATCGTGTATAGTATAGGTATATGTTGAAACGGGAATAAGGCTTGACGGGCTGAAGGGAATCTCTAGTAGAGGGGAGAAGACTAACGGAAAAACTCCCATGGCTCAGATTAGAGAGCCATGGCGTCATGGAAAGGGGACTGGATTTGGAAACCAAAGACCTCTAGATTCAAATCTTGGCTACTGTGTGACCCTGGGCAAATTACTTAACCCTTCTGGGCCATAGTTCCTTTATCTGTAAAATGAAGGGTTAGATTAGATGACCTTTTAAGAATCCTTCTAGGCCTAATTTATGGTCCTGTAAACTGGAAGGAATATCTGTATCTAGAGGATATCAGTTTGGTCCGATCCTCTCATTTTATGGAAGAGACAAAGAAGTCCTAGGGAGGAGTTAAAGGACCTGCCCGAAGTTCACCCCCTCACACAGGAGGAACTCTAGGGAATCCCTGAGGGCCTTGCTTTATTTCATCCTCCCCATCTGCAACAGGTACTACTACAAAAGAGAGATCTTAGAGCGGGTTGACGGCCGGAGACTAGTCTATAAGTTCGGCAAGAACTCGAGTGGTTGGAAAGAGGAGGAGGAGGCGGTCCTGAGCCGGAACTGAACGAAAGGGCCATCTCGGCACTCAAGGCCGACCATGAGCTTGCCCCTGGACCAGAGACTCCTTCAGACATTCCTGGACCCCGGCCCTCCAAGTCCCTCCAGGGAGGGTGGGTGCCCCTTATTGGCGCTGGAAGCCAGTGGGTGTGCCCCAGTGGAGTGAAACTGAACTTTGGCCTGCCCTGGCTTTGTTGTCAACAGTTGTCATGGGATATGGAGACCTTGGGCCCCTCCCTCCTCTTTCCTCTTGGAACTACAAGCCCTCTGGATGGCAGCCATGGCGCTGCTGGCTGAAACCAAGAGGTCTCTGAGCTGGGAATCCTGGATGTCACATGGGAGCCAAGGACCCTCTTCTCGTAGAACCCTGGACCGATGCTCTTTGGGGGGTGATGGGTGGCCCCTGAAAAAAGCCTTAGAGAGAAGACCTACCAGCACCTTGCCTCCAGGCCTGCCCTTTCCCTATGCTTGGACTCCGCAGGTCGTGGGTCAGAGCACTCCCTAATTTATGTGGTATAAATATGTAATATGTACATAGAAATCTATTTTTTCAATGATACCCCTCCCCTCCTACACTCCTAGACCCTCTGTCCATGTGTGAGGATAAAGACCAGAGACGATTGTTCCGAGGCCATTGGCTGCAGAGACTTCAGCTATTACAGCTGCTCATGGCCTTCCCTGGACCAGGATGGATTCACTCCTTCCTTTTGCCATATCTGTAAGCAGGGGCTGGGGTGGTGAAACTGGTCCCCAGGACTCCTGGTCACTCCTCTTGTCTCCAGAATGGATCAAAAACTTGCAATAAAGTATCTTCTGGGGTTTTTTGTTTTTAACCTATGGTTTGCCTGTCTGTTCACTGAGAGGCTAGAGTTGTTGTCAATGGATAGGATCAAGGCGATGGTGACCGTGGTTGGGGTGGGGGCAATTGATAAGGATACCCAGGGAGGGAGTCAAAGACAGGGGTGAGACCTTAAGGGGGAAATGGGTTGAGCTATGAATTCCACATAACTTGATGGGAAACAGGTGGGAGGAAAGAGAAAAGATCTAATGGTGAGACACACTAGACACTTAACTTAGTTTGTTTCCACTCTGAAATGGGGGCTAGTTTTGGGAGAATTAGATTCAATATTTAATTCAATTCAGTAAGCATTAAGTGGCTGCCAGGTGCTAGGTATAGGGTCCTGTGCATCAAAAGAGACAACATATGCAAAAGTTTGGCCATAAATGTTAGTTCAGGGTCCTAGGACTGAAGCACAAGAAGAGCATGAAGAGAAGTGGAGTCAGAAGTCAGGAGACCTGGGTTCAAATTGTACCTTAGTAGTTGTATCACTTTAGGGAGGGGGTAGTGTCTGGGCCTCAGGTCCTCTTCTGTACAATGAGGAGCTTGGACTGCATAGCTTCTGGGGTCCTTTCCACTTCCAAATCTATGTTCCTGTTCTAGTCATTGTCACAAGCTTCTCATCCTCCTTGTCCCCTAAGGGTAAGAAAACAATACCTGGCATTTCATTTGATCCTTACAACAACCCTGTGGGGTAGGTCCTACAACTATTAACTCCCATTTTACTAGGGCTGGCCTCCAAGCTGGGAAGATGGCTTCAAGTCCTGCATCTGACACCGGGTGTCTGTGTCACCTGCTCTAGACAAAGGCTTAGAAGACCTACATTGGCAGAGGGAGTTTGTTCATGTGGGAATTCCTTAGAGCGGTGGGATCACGGGTCCAGGATTCGAAGTTGGCTCTTCCTGACTGCCAAAACAGCACTCTCCTTTGCACTGTGCTCAGTAGGTTGGTAAAAGTCAGGGCCTATTTGAAAGCCAGCCTAGTTGGTCACTGGTACTATGGGGCTGAGGGAGCTGAGAGTATGCAGCACCCTGAACTAACACGTTTAATTAGAAAAACTACCTATGTCCATTGGTTGATGATTTCGAATGACTTGAGAAAATTTGCCCAGGAACCCATGAGAACATTGAATCAGAAGTCAGGAAACTTCAGTTCTGGTCCCAATGTTTATCACTTGAGCTATGTGACAGGCCTCAGTTTTCTCATTTTCCAGATGTGCAAAGTCAAGTCCAGAAAAGCTGATTTTTTTTTTCCAGAGTAAGCCCCAGCATTCGAACTCAAGTTTTCTGAATTGAAATCTGGTACTTGAACCATTATGATATGAGATGATACAAAGGGTAGGGTGGGGTAGATAGGATGATCCTTAAACTGTAAAATCCTAAGAATGCCAGAATATGGCATGTAAGAAACATGGGTTTGACCTTCCACAGCACCTGCATTCCTACACCTTGGCTATCAGGGGAATAATTGTAATGTGAATTTATTTTCTCATGAAACTGCCATTATATAATCATAGAAATTTTCTCCTGGGGAAAAAATCCTTGGAGAGATGAGTGGAGAAACCTTGGCAAAGAAGGTATTACTCAGGGTAATATGTCATAGCATAGCTTCATGCTAGCTGGGAATCAGAGCAATTACCCAATAGTTTATTTTTCCTGCTTTTATTAAAAGATTCTTCCTCTAACGGTCCTCTCTCTAGATTTCAGGAGTTTCTCCCACACATAGGGATCTCCTGACTCTTCATAAAACTTAAGGAGATACAAGGTCCTGTGCATCAAAAGAGACAACATATGCAAAAGCTTTCTGGCTTAAAAACTTAGTAGAGATAATCTCTAGGGGCTATTAACCTGTGGTTCATGAAATGATATAATTATGTTTTTATGTAATTGGTTTCCTTTGTAATCCTAAGGATTTTCTTTTACTTAAAATACCTTGTGAGAAGTGGTCCATAGGTTTCACCAGATTGCCCCAAGGGTCCGTATCATACAAAAAAGTTAAGAACCCTCCTTCTTCCAACACCTTCATGAAATGGTGGGTAGCAAGAGGCAAAGCCTGTGTTCTTTCTGCTATACAGTACAAGGATGCTTCCTGTCATGGTACTCTTCTTCCCTCTGCATCAAACTGCCTCTCCTGGGTTGGGGAAGGCATACTGGCTCAACAGTTGAAGGATGTTTGCTCAAATTGGGCCTCAGTCCAGCAGGCCTCTTTTCTTATCCAACAGCCGATTCCATATCACAGGGTGGGGAGAGGCAAGGCAGTGTCATGGAAAGAGTATTTCTTCATTTTGATACTGAATGTGGGCTTCATTTTCTCTACCTGGGAGTCAAGAGAAGGCAAAGGAGATGGATGGCCAAAGGTCATGGCACCAGAAGGTGAGTAACAACTTAGTGGGGCAAGAACCCTAGACTGAGACTTAACGCCCTGAACTTTCATGGCAAGGTAGAAAAGAGCTCAGGATTAGGAGCCAGAACACTTGGGTTCAAGTCCTCACTCTGCCTGGTCCCATGAAACCTTGGACGAGTGAATTCACTTCCCTAGGCCTCTGTTTTCTCATTTGTAAAATGAAGGGCCTGGTCTAGAGGCTTCTGAAGTTTCTTCCATTTCTAGATCTGTGACCCTATGATCTAATAGTTAGGTATTTGCAACATGTGATACAGCTGTCCTTTGAAACTGCACCCTTCCCATCTCTGTTATTGGCTCCCTCTTGGTGTGTAGTTGTAGAAAGAAACTAAACTTTCTACTTGATCTATTCCTCCAATCTAAAGTTCTGTGTGTTGAGAAAAAGTGATAACCAGCTTATTGGTGTGGAAAGGATACAGAACACAAGCAGTACAGGGCGAAAGGGAATCTGGAAAGGAGGTTGGGGTGGGGGTGGGGGTGGGGGCATTTTACAGCTGAAGACAGTGAGAGGAAAGGGATGCCGAAGGCTGCTTCTCAGAGAAGTTTCAAAACAGAAGACAACATCCCATCTCTGAAACCATCTGTATTTAATTAAAAGTTTGCAGATAAGAGGAGAAGATGTATGAGGACCCCAGAAGGTGCTATGAATGAAGCTCCAAAAAGATATAATTGCTCCTAGCAACTGCCTCTCTCAAGATATGCATTTCAGCTCCTGGTTTCTCCATGGTTAAGGAAATGTTAGGAATTGTCCTCAGGGCCAAGAGATGCTCTAGAAGAAGGATGGGAAATAAATTGGAGAGGTGAAACTAGTCAACTTTGGAAAAAGCAAGGGGAGACAGTTTGAAAAATGAGGCTGTGAGATTAGTTTTTTGACAAATAATTAGCTATCCTGTTCTAGTATACACTTCTCCCCTTGCACTATAAGATTCTTCTCCCTTCCCCCCCCCCCCAAAAAGGGGAGAGTCCTTCATTTTGATAGCCTGAGGACCATCATCAGAGAGATTTTCTGGGAGGGCAACAGACAACTGGGTACTGAAAGGAGGGATCTGGGGTCTGAAAGCAATCGAAGGACAATCCAGAGGCTAGAGGTGTCTAAGTGTCTCAGTGTCTCAGATCCCAGGCACTCACCCTAAAACTCATAGGCCACATGATTTAGAGCTGGAAAAGACCTTAAAGACCATCTATTCTAAGCTCATGCCCCTTCACCCCATTTTACAGATAAGGAAACTGAGTTCTGGAAAGAAGTAACTGGCCCAAAATGACACAAATAGTGACAGAAGAGGATCTGAACCCAGGTCCTTTGATTCCCACACTGCCTCTGAATGAATATCTCTTCTGCCTACAAAACCTTCAGCCACTCCTATTCGTCTTTCACAGCAAACCTGCACTCTTTAGTCTAGGATTTGTCATTAAGGGATCCCCACAAGCTCTAAGGGAGATTCCCTCATCCCTCTTGACCCCCACAAGTTCCAGATTGAACCTTTCCCCCCTCAGAGAGAGGGAGGAAGGGAGAGACCCCAAAGAGGTGCCTGGGAAAAGGAATAAGGCTACACCCAGCTGGGGAAGCTGCCCCTCCACCCTGTACCCTGTTTGCCCAGAAATAGGGTGGATAACAAGGTAAGAAACTCATAAAGTTCATTTTCTTCCCATCCTTTGATTGCTATGTGGGTGTGCCCTGGGTGTGGGCTCTGAACTGGGGGGGCCGGGAGTGGGGAAGGGGGGTGCTGATGGAGTCACCGGACTGTTTGAGATGTTGCAGTGAGCCGGCGGTTGCTGGGTGCTATCTGCTCTGTCTGTGTGGCACACTACCTTGCTATGTGGGTCAGAGAGCGGTCAAGCAGCTTCTTTGTTTGGGTGTGCCTGTTTGGGCCCGGCCCTGTTGCTCCCTGTCTCCCGCACACATGCCTGATATGGATTGTCTCTGGCTGTTCACTGACCTGCTGGCCTCTGCACTTTTATTGCTGGGCTGTGAACCATGCAGTGGGGTAGATTTGGAGTCGGGAGACCTGGGTTCAAATCATAACTTTGATGCTTGTGACCTTGGACAAGGCCTTTAAGGCTGTTAGGATATGGAAAAATGCAAAGGGTACAAAAGATGTTATAGAGGCAGAACCAGCAAGACCTGGAGACTGATTGGGTATGAGGACTGGAAAATTCTGCATTTTATTAAAAAAAAAATTGGGGGGGGCAATCAGGGATAAATGACTTGTCCCGAGTCACATGGCTAGTAAGCGTCTGAGGCTGGATTTGAATTCAGGTCCTATTTGATTCCAGGGGCAGTGCTCAATCCACTGCATCACCTAGCTGCTCCTGTTTTATTAAAATCTGA